TTGGGGGGGGGCATTCCTCATAATTCGTTAATATGTAACTCCCATCCTAGAGTGTGTTTGTTTGTTTGTAATTAAGCACAAAGCTACACAATGGGCTATCTGTGATCTGCCATCCACGGGTATCGAAATCCGGATAACTTAGAGAGCAGTAGAGTTCTTTTCAAACCTTTTGGGGCAGCTTTCAATAGAATACCTTTCTGGTTCTTATAGATACTGTGGATGGATTTATTTTGAGTCTATTCCTATACTGTTCAATAAATGGAATTCCTTTCAGATCAATTTGAACAATATTCAGTGGCTAGAGTTTTTCCTAGGTTTCAATGGCAATTCCATGGATCGAATTTCTTTTGGATTTGATGTTCATGGAACAGAATTTCTCACGGATCCGTTTGAATAATGTTCAGTGGATTAAGTTCTTCTTGAGTTTACTTGAAAAGTATTAAATTACAGCTTAGTTTGAAGTGAAACTCCTTACTTGTCTGTTTGAACACTGTTCTGTGGTTGATATTCTATTGGAAATTGTTTGTAATCCGCTCAATGAATGGAATTCTTCCCAAGTGTGTTTGATTGTTGCTCAGTGAACGAATTAATTATAAGTAAAATACCTCTCAGAACTTTTGGGCACTGTTGAATGGGTGGGACGCTTCTTAAGTTGGGCCTACTAGAAACCTGTATAGTGGACAAAACTGTTCTCAGCTGTTTTCGGGCAATCTTTATTTGCTACTCCACTAGATTAATTTTGCCACTATTTGCAATCATGACACTTTCTGCTGTTATCAACAAAATTATATTTTCCAAAATTTATTTATTATATTTGCTTTTATGTTTATTTGACGCTGTTTTTCTCACCTAAAATGTGGTGCTTAAAGTTACGACTTAAAATATAACGAAAAAGATAAAGACAGAAAATAGTACAATTCAACGTTATATATTTCAGTTCCTGGCCTGGCGCCTTACAAGGTTCATTGTACTTTGTACAGGTAAACCTCTCCTTTATATGCGATAGTAACACTATTACGTCAGACTAAAAATTTCTTTTCTGGTATTCCGTGCTATCTTAGTTACATCTGGGTTTACACTCTCATGCTATAGATCTTAAGTAGGATAACAGCAACAGAAGAGTTTTAAATGATTAGTGCAATTTCTATAGAACGTTTGAAAAACAGACTAACCTACTTGGCAAAGACATGTTTAATTTTAGTATTTCTGGAGCGTATGTTATCTTAACACATAGAATCTATATTGTTAGATATAAAAATGACACTGCAATTGACAGTACTAATTAATAACCGATAATACTGATAATTATTGAAATCATACTGTGCTGTATCATCAATCCAATATTACACAGAATTGTGGTTATATAGACGAAATCCGTGTTTGTAAACAGAGGAGTGATTGTAAGCATAAATGAAAACGACCAATCACCAAATCTTTCGTCGTTTCATTATATAGTATGAATTCAACTTAAACATTGTCAATAATTATACTTAAACAACTTGATCTTTTCAAGAAAATTTAATGGTATTTGAAAGCTTATCCTAAAGATTACCTGACCTGTGTAGTGTTTGTAGGTGGCAATAATGTTTGTCCAAGCGTACTGACATTAATTATGGTGACATTTACAGATATTTCATCGCAAATCAAGGCGTTTACAGCAAACAATAATGAAAAAATATTATTCATTAAAATCACTTATCTGTTA